AAAATAATCTTTTCTAAATTTTTAAAAAGATTCTTACAATATTTGGCTAATCTTGCTGCAATTATTGCGCCCATTAATTCTAGTCGGGGCAGTGTCATCTTTTTAATTTGTGCAACTTGTGATTTGGAAATTCTGAAGCTACTTTTAAAAGTGCCTTGTCTTGTACCTAAAGTATTTAAGCTTTAGGTACAAGACATCTCATGGCACTCCAAAAGCTATTAATGAAGCATTAGAGAATATATGGATTTCTACATTTTCTTCCGCTTCAGATTTGTGCCAGAAAAATAACGCCAAGGAATCTTTAAATTTTGAACTTTTTTAATATCATTACACCATGCTTGCCATTTTTTCTTTAATTTCTCGGTAAAAACATCTTCGCCCCATTCTACACCTAACTGCCACACAGCTCTTGTAAAAATACACTTCACTCGAACTAGAAACAGAGAGAATAAGTCCTAAGGTGGATCAAATATTTTTGCGGCTGTTTGTAGTATGTTTCATTTAGTACATTCTTTAATATCCAACGTGGATAACAATGACCTTAAGTCTAGACTTAATGTGACTTCAATATTATTCCAACTGAGTTCTAATAATCAAAAGTCTTTAAAATGTGAATTGGAATATTCCATTTGTTTCAATTAATGAATTAGAATTCTTCCATAAATCTTTCAGTTCTTTAGAGTTAGTGTCAAATTTTCTCATATTCATGTTTGCATCCTTTAAAATTAAAACAGCATCACAAGATAACTGATAAGCTTCTTGAACAGTGTAATTTCCATGAAAAAGAACCTTCACATAAATAGAACTATTCAACATTTCACATGCAATAGGGTGTGAATTCTTGTAAGTATTAATATGAGTTTTAATACGCATGCATGAGTGACGCATGCATCTATATTATTGTTATCATTATTATTATTGCTGTCTTTCAGCTATTTTCAAATTGTGCATTGGCACGTGTGCATAGCAAAGAGCCATAAATTTCATGGAAATGAGAAAGACAGGGATATTTTATTTCATATTTTTCTAAAGGACAGTTTTCTTTGACGAAGAAAATAAATACATGTGTCGAAGACAGGATTCTATTAATGTGATGAACGCAAGAATTTGCAGTGAAAATTTTCTATATAGTGACTGTGAAGATGACATGAATCGCTTGCTTAGATTGCCGTAAAAGAAACTGTTAAATTCCAATAGTGTGCCGAGAAAGGAAAAATGATGCAGAGTTCTTTTGAAAGAATACACGAATTAAATTTGAAGAAGATACATTTTGAGGCCGATTGCGGAAACGATGCTAGGAATAATAAATCAAATACGAATGATTATAAAAATAATTAATAATAGAATAAAACGTGAAAGTAATTTCACATAAAAAATACCTTCTTCCTTTGCCCCTCTTTTGAAAGATTAAGTAATACTGTGAGCAAAATCATTTTTTGAAACTTAAGACAACAATCTCGTATTTATTTGTATAAATGTGAGTATATAGTGTGCATTAATTTAATGTTTAAATTAATAAGATTCTATATTAAATTAAGATAATTATGTCAAACTAGTGTTTAAAATAATGTTTAATTAAGTGATTTAATGTTTCAATAGCAGTGGCACAAGTTATTTCGAATTTTCATATTATTTAAACTAATTGGTTCTTTAAAACATGTAAAACCTTCTATGCATTCTACTATGTGTATTTAAATACCAACAGTGAAGTGACATAAGTGAAAGTGAAAACTAAGTTATGAAAAGGAATATGTATACGTCTGTATTTTCGGTGGATAAATTTATGTTTCTTCTTCAGCAAGGATATTTGAATTTTCATATATCATATACAGAGGTCTTCTATATTTAAATTTAGGAAAGCTTTATTTATTACTTTTATTTATTATTTATTTTAACCACTTTTCAAAATACAGAACTGTTCAAATTATTGTACTGTTTAAGTACCTATTCAAAATACTGTACTGTTTAAGTTATTGTATATTGCTGTTTGCTAATATTAAAGAATTTAAGGGATCAGGATCGGGGTCTTATTGTCATCATATCTGGATTAACAATATTTAACCATAATTACAAGTGAGCATTTTATTTTTATAACTCTCGCTTTGAATGCATAATTCTTTAAAATATAAAACAGTTCTGAAGAATCGCCCAACCGGTATGAATAGCGTCGCTGCCTGCCGTGCCGAAGGGCCCAGTTTCGAATCCTGGAGAAAACAGGGATGCTTGTAAAGGTATGGAGTACGTGGGGTATGGGAGCACTCTAAATATGCGGCGAACCGAAAGTCCCCTCAAGAGGCTGATGGTAGGAAAAGCGGTGTGGGAGAACCTCGGACCTGTCCACCCGGATGCTCTCCATCAAAATTGGGGACGGAACTGAGCTAAATCGCACTGTCTCCTATAAGGTGCTGAAAGCTGTTACCAAAGACAGGCGTAAACTTGCGCTCCTTGCCACGAGGAACATCGTGGGCTGGGACTGACTATAGGATAAGTGAGCATTAGCAACTACAACAACAGTTCAGAAGAAAATTTTGAAGAAAATTACAGAAACGATCGAACCGAAATAAGGCTCTAGCAACATAAATAAATTTAAATCTCACCCAAATTAGATTCCAAACATTAGGACAAGTTGGTACAGCTTTAAATATCGGACTGAGAGTTAGGTACAGAATAAATGGCCTTAATTTTAATTTCTTCTATTTCAACATTTAAATATTATACATTATATATTTTCCAATTCTTGTAAAATGTAGGTATTCAGTCTGATCATACTAAAATGAGTAAGTATTAGAATTTCTTATTTTCCCGATATTCAAAACTACTGTTACGAGCAGCTACAGAGAACTTCAGCCACGTCACAGCCGAACGAGTACTTGGCTTTTCGTTTGTTTGCCCAAGTGACCTAACCTGTTCTTTTACGGACCTTGGCTCATCATTTTGAGGATTTTTCTACTGGTTTCTGGGTTAATTTTAATCAGGGCTTGAGTTTTCCTAAGTGTGAGGTTTCTTAGTGCTTAGAGGATTTTCAGGTAACTTGGTCTTGTATATTTCATTGCTGCACTTAATATTGTTAGATTCTGCTAACTCTCGCATATATTTTCGAAGTTCGCACTCATCAAGTTACCTTTTGATAGCTTACACGCTAGATTGAGGTTGACACTTTGAATCTTTCAGTATAGTGGATTTCCTGATAGATTTTCGGATCTTGTTATGATCGCATCAGCTTTGACTCCAAACGAGAGAGAAACAACTTATTTTGGTCACTTGGACTATAGTTGACTATACTTTTATTTAGAGTCAGACTACACTTTCACTAGGTAGACAGCTGTGACACTTTTATCCTGCTTAGGGGTTTTTTAGTATCAGATTAAGGAGCGTATTCAGAAAATTATCTTGGCCTTCGCAGTTTGTTTATTAACGTGGTATAGCATAGTATTGATATAAAAATAGCCTATAACTGAATGAAATGTAATTCCAGGTATAATATTGATAATTTAAGAAAACATAACTGACCGGCTTCTATAAATATTTATGTAATACTTTGAGTTATTTTCTGTTTTCATTTAGTTTGTTATGACTCCTTAGTCCTGTCGATGTTCAAAAATTGTTTATTTAATGTCCTTATAACAATGTTATGTGGATTGGAAGTAATCTATTAACGTTTTCTTGTATGCTCTTATTGATATTCAAATAACCTCACTTATACAGTATAAATGCTTTAAAAATACGGGCTTCAAACACTACATACACATGCATGGGAGTAACAACCATAATAAACCCAAATACATTTTTAAACATTAAACTATTTTTCTCCTCCGCTTTAGTCCCTAATAAATACTTCATATGTGATGTCACAATGGCAAATTCTCCAAGAATTAGAATTACTAAACTCTTGCCAGACATTTCCTAAATTCCTGTACTGTTTCCCAGTAGCATACTTTCACTTTTCTTTATCAGAGTTCGTAAATTTGAAATCATCATGTCGAAAAGCATTTTTGGCTGACTGGAAATTTACTGAAATATCAGTATTAGAATACTTTTTATCATCGTTTACGATCTTGAAAGAGAACATTTTCTACACATTTTCTAACAAGGTTTACACGAAATAAAAACAAAATTCTGTGCAAAAGAAGTTACTTAAAACATTCCTACTCTTTTTCGCTCAAAAACATTAAAACTTTTCTAATGGACGCTCATGAAGATCTGAGATGTCTTCCTGACAGTAAGCCGAATTCGTTGAAGAATAATTTGTTTCTAGAAACCTCAGTTGTTTTCATGAAAGTTCGATGTCCTGTTTCCTTGTTTTTATGAGGAAAAGCATCATTATGAAGGAGAAAATTACTTGGGGGTTCTCTAACTTCCAGGCTGTTAGACGTGGTTTTGCAGGCCTAAGCGATAATGAGGACCTGATCTAGGATCATCACACCCATTCAAAAATAAAGTGAAATCAAATAAGTGTGAAATCAAACCGGCTAAACTAAGGCTCCAGTATTCTTGGCAACCTAAATAATGAACGCAGTTAGCACTTCGTATGTATTATGAATATTAACAATTCAAAGAGAAATTTAATTTGTTTAAAAGTCGCTTGTGAGAACAACTAATTAGCTGGCATCCTCTAAACATCAGTACCCTGCCCTTAGAGAGGGCCCTAGCTAAACTGAAAAATATTCTTCAGAGAGCGTGACGTATTTAGACTTAAGATTAGAAATATTCTAGAACCTTCTGCAAATTCAGTTCAAAATTTCCGAATGTTTGAAAATTTTGTTCTTCATTTACATGTCAATTCACAAAAAAAAGCCAGAATTATTATATTTTATGTATATTTAAAAAGAAGGTATGATGCGAAGAAATTTCAAACAGTTCAACAAGAATTTAATCATAATTTACAGTTTTTAAGCAAGGGGATATTTTGCACTTTCTCATTCCATATAATAATATATATATATCATTGATTTCGAATGCAAAAATATATGAAAAGAAAGAAAGAAAAAGGTAGCTTTTATTACGTGTTTCCGGTTCCGGTTTCTAAGTCTGTTTTGTTTGGATGAGAAATTTGTCAACAAACTTGTAGTAAGTGCTAATAGGTGTGCACATTTATACTCCATCGGTGTGCATTATGTCTGGACATGGACACAGTCATGGTCATTGTGAGCATGAAGCACAAGAGCAGCCGTCAGATTTAGGCGTTGAATACAGCTTATACACAAAAATTGACACTGATAATGTGCAGTGTTTAAATGAGGTTGTTGAAGGATCTGGTAAATTAGTATTCAAACCGTGGGAGAAGCGCTTAGAAACTGATCAGGTAATTCTGCTGAATAATGAAGAAAGAATTGTGTTATAAATGGATTCTTTTTGTATGTTTTTCTATGTTTGACTGACAGTGTGAAGTAATAAATTTTTGTTAACTTCGAATATCTGTTACTAGGAATGAATTCCTTACTTTAATTGTACTATAGATAGTGTATTTAGAAGATGCCATTTATGAAAGAACTTATTTCCTCAACGCCCATCAAAGAGTATTATTATTAGTGTTATCAATTTCTTTCCTTCTTCATGCTATTTAATTTTTTTAAAAGAAAGCATTGCAGATGTGATTTATGTTTACTTCATTATAAAAGTAAATAATGAATAGAAAAATATATAGTAAAGAATCGGTTATTGCAATAAGCAGTAGATAATTTTACAAAATTTAAAATGCCATAGTTTTACAAAATGCCATGCTGCTGCACATTCTCATATCCTGACCTTTTATTATAACATGGTCTCTTTTATCTTAAATTATTCCTTGTTTTCAAATTACTGATTATAGTATCTCTCTAACAATAGCAAACAGTGACAGGAAGACTTTAAATATTATGTATATGAGATTGATATGTTATGAAAACCCATGAACTGTTTTTGATGAAGATGCAAAAGCTTTCATCAACCTATCTATGAGAACTATCTATAGAACTAGTTGAACTAAATGAGAGACCAAGCTGAAGAAAAGCTGTACAAAACAAAAACACAGTAAAATAAAACAGTCAGTTTTTTAAATTGAATTTGTATTCCATGAAGATAGATATAAAGTCTTAGATTTTCATATTTTAAGTGCTTTTGTTATCAGAAATTGATAAATTTAATATTTAGCGATGTTTTTAATTTGTGTAGTTCCATAGCTCTCGTAATATTGATAACGATACTGAAAAATAAGTGTCACATTTGGATCCAACAGTGTGAAATTTATAGGAAGTATCTTAAAATATAACATGAGAAAAAGCTTAATGCAGAAGTGTATAATTTTAAACTATAATTTAATAATATATTCAGAACTATTTAGTTTTTAAAGTTAAAAGTATCCTAAGGAAAACCATGACAAAAGCTTATGGGGGAGGGAAGGACACATTGGAGAATTAGCCAGTTAATGACTAAATAAAATGTAAAAGTAAAAAGTCAAATAATAAAATAAAATACAGGATTTCATATTATTTTGGACCACACATGGATTTAAAATTTCACTTAAAAACTAAGAATAACTGGAGCTGGTCTTGAATGAATTTCCACTGAATTTAAATACTGAATGTACAGTGCAAAGTACTATTTCAGCAGACAATAGAAATACAAATAATTCTGTTTCCACCATGCAAATGAGAAAACATAAAACAGCTGTAATATATTAATGAAATAATATGAAGAAAATTTTAAGAGCAACGTGGGTATGTAATTAAAGACAGGAGAATCAAATATTTTCTCATCATGAACATTGCTAATTTAATTATAGTCGTTTAAAGCAAACTAGTAAAAACATACACAAGGGGAAAATGCCTCTGAATTCAAGGATTGATTTGTAAGCTGAGAAAAAATACAAAGTCTTATGTAAGGACTATTTTCATCCCCCCATATTTAGTTTGCATCAGTCTGAAAGGTCCACAGTGCTCTGTTGCTTGCAAATGCATTCGTATTGAACATATATGAGCTATCATTATGTAATGTGTCCTGTCAGTTTGTGTGCATTCAGGAATATAGATTCCCCTTCTCTATCCTATTGTAAATTGTACATAACTGAAACCTCTGATTCAGTAGCTGCAGATGCATAATCGGGGTAATCGCAAAAAAGACCCATTTCCAAGCAAAGTTTCATAAATTTATTGTTTTTTTTTTTTTTTTTTTTTTTTTTTTTTTCGGAGGGTAAAATTCTATATGTGGCAGAGGCTTTTCTTTCCTTAAATGTTTCTTCACTATCACTCCATAGGTTTGTTTCCAGGGAAAAGAGATCATATGCAATTTGCATTCAGAAGTTATTGTATAGATTTCTAATTCTTAATTATTGCTAAAATAAAATATTATGAGGTGAAAAGAACTCTGAAATTTAATTCTGTTCTGACAGAATAAAGTGCCCAAGCTCATTGTATGTAAGGTTGTGGTAAGAATCATCTCTGTAAGAAGATGAGAAGTGCTGAATCTGGCTTTGGTATACTGAATAGGTCCAAATAGCCCAGATCAGGGATTCTCAACCAGTGGTATGCAAAGAAACAAAGTATTTTTATTTATTAAATTAAAAAATTAAATACCCCAACATACTATTTAAATTTTTTCTCTAACAATCATAAATTTATGCAACCTGAGCTTTGTTCAAGGTCAAATAGCCCCTCATGGACTTTATCAAAATAATCCATTTATATTTTCACAAATATTCTTTTAACTATAGGCATAACAAAATTTGTCATAAATGATGCTTTTAAAAGGAGTAAAGAAATGGATTCTCTATTTAATAGGAAATTAAAATAAATTCATATAAGAAGATAATATCTCATTAATTCTTGTAGAGTTGATCAACTTATTAGCATGGCTATACTTAATTTTGCCACCATTTCCAGGCTTATGTTGCTCTATTTTCAATTAGAATAATTTTTTTACATCAATTTACTGTCTCTAACAGGTATTTTGTCTTCTTGTTACTTGGAATTTCCTTACCTCTCAACACGATTTCAGAATATCGTCATTTATTTTTGAATAACTAGTAATATATTGTGTATTTAAATATTTGTAAAAAGAAATAATAAAACACAATTATATTTTCAAAATGGAAAAATGGCTAGGATTGACTAAATGTATCCAGAACAATCTACTAGTACTAAGAATATTGAAATGAACAATTATTTATAGAAAATATAATGAAAATTATTTATCATTTGAGTTTACCCTCAGCTTCAACTCAAATGGACTCTCAGCCACAACGTGTTGTTTGTCATGAACTGTTATCCGATCAAAATATGAAACTAATGTACATGAACATTTCTTAAATGACATCTTGAAAGAAATGTTTCATGTACATTAGTCTTTCATAAACAAACTAATGTACATGAAACATTTCTAAAATGACATCTTGAATGCCAATTAAAAGGATAAATCTGAAGAATATTTTAAGAGAAATTATTGGAGTTCAAGAATAGTAAGCAATTACTGAAAGGTTTTGTTACTTCAAGTAAAAAAGCTTTGGAAGCTAGTTACCTAATAAGCCTAAGAATTGCCAAGACTAAGCACGCTCGCACTTACCAGTAGCTAAAGATATCATTTTAACATTATTCAATGAAAAAGTAGCTAATGAACTTAATAACATCTCATTATCAAATTATACAATAAATCGACATCATGAAATGGCAAATTCTATAACAGAGAGACTTGATTCAAAAAATAAAACACGGTGAGTATTTTGCATTGCTGTTGGATGAAAGAACTTATATAACGAACGTTATTCAATTATTAGTTTGCTGTTTCGAAGAAGGTAAATGAATTGCTATTGCCAAAGAGTATTTATTTTATGAATCTCTTCATGACAGAGCAGCTGCACAAGAACTCTTCAAAGTAATTGACAATTTTTATATCTGAGAATGATATTCCTTGGAATAAGTGTATTGCTGTATGCAGTGACTCAGCTTAGGCTTTAACAGGAAAATATTCCAGTGCTATTTTTCAAATAAAGAAAGATGCACCTGAAAATAAATTTACTCACTTCTCCATTCACCATGAAGCTTTAGTAGCCAAAACAATTCCTGAAAACCTGAAAATCGTTTTGAATCAAGCTGTGAAAATTGTTAATTATATTAAAAGCCCAGGTTTAAATTCAAGAATATTTACAATTTTATGCCAAGAGATGGTCATGAAACACTTTTGTTACATTCCAAAGTAAGTTGGTATTCCAGATTCAGAAAAGTTTAAATCGTCTTTTTGAACTTCGATCAGAAATTCAAATTTTTCACTGTGATTCAAAATTTGAATTGCAAAAATATTTATTAAGCGAATTATGGTTGCATGCATTTAGCATATTTAGCTGATATTTTTGGAAGGTTAAATGAGATTAAGTTTAGGATCACAAGGACAAAGTGTTAATTTCTTTAACATTACAGATAAAATAAATTAAAATGATAAAAAAAACTCAAAGCTAATAATCAGAGAATCGGATAATAATATTTTATGCTTTTTACCCACTTTTAAAACAGTTTTCTAACCAGAAAATAATTTGAAAATAAAAGAATTAGGATCTGACATTAAAAATCATTGTTTTTCATCGAATAAATAATTTCAACATCAATTTTCCTGAAGGAATTAGGAAATAGAAAATTGGATTAGAAATTCATTTTGTCCAGATGTACCTGAAATTTTATCTTGTGAAGAAAATGAACAACTGATATAAATTTCTGTGATCGAACTCTAACTCAAGATTTAAAAAATAACACATTTGTTAATTTTTCGCTGAACCGAAAAAAAAAAAAAAAAAAAAAAAAAAAAAAAAAAAGAATTTGAAGGCATTTCAAATAAAGTTATTAAATTTTTATTGCCTTTTTGCACAACCTATTTGTGTGAACAAGGATTTTCTTCCATGTTATATTTGAAAAATAAATACAGAGCAAAATTAAAAGTGGATCCTAATTTACTATTAAAAAACTAAGTGAAATAAGACCAGACATGAAGAAATTAATCTGTCTTAAAAAGGCTCAGATTTGGCAGTAAATTTTGGAATTGAAGTATTATAACTTAAATTTTGATAATTAAAATGGTAATCAATTTTTATTATAAAATTTTTTAATGTGCATGTTTAATACAAATAGCCAATAGGTTGTATAAATGACAAAGTATATACCTATATATATATATTTTAATATTTCTATTGAGAAATTGAAAAATAATCATTGTTGTATTATTCTCTAAAGTGTCTGGCAAAATCATGTGTCTTTATTTGAAGCATTTGTCCAGCTATTGGACAAATTCATTCATTATCCAGCTCCATTCATTATGCACAAGAGTTTATTATAAACTGGGTTCATTATAGCCGAGTTAAATTGTATTATTATTTTATCTTTTGTAATATTTTGTGAAAGAAAATTCCAATTTACATTGAACACAGTTATATATTTATGTACTGTTATTTCATTATGGTATTATTTTCAACTAAAAGTCTTCTTTTTCACTCTACTTTTATCAAAACAGTTATGCGTATGTAGCATCTTTTATCAAAACAGTTGTGTGTTGCAATAAATTACAACTTTATTATGCAATTTAACCTTGAGATAAAATACTGAAGAAAAATTGATGTAATATGTTATGCTACATTTTTAAATTAAGTTCTCCTACCCACAAAATACCTTATCATTAAAAATATAGCTAACATATTTTGCTTCATTATTGCAGTTTGTTGAAAGTGATGTGGATGAGGAGCTGCTGTTTAATGTCCCGTGAGTATATATATATATATATATATATTTTTTATTTTCAAAATCTAATTTGAAACTTCCTAATTAAAGTGATTATCACAGTTAATCATCAAAATTGGCCAACATAATTGCCATATTTGTAGTAGGGAATGTATTTGATTCTTAGATGTTAATTGCTGATGACATGAGTAATGGCTACTTCCATAAGGAAGAACTTCTAAGTTTTATATTGTAATAAATTTATTTGTTTTTTATTGATTAATTAGATGTATTTCTTTCCTGCAGATTTACAGGCATTGTAAAATTGAAGGGAATAATTGTTGTTGGTGGTGAAAATGATTCACACCCATCAAAAATGAAACTGTAAGTTTTCAATTTTGATATATTTTTAATATCTTCGTATTATGTTTAACAATCTCTTTTCACTATTAACTTTCAACTGGTCATGGAGTAGTTCCAGCATCCAAGCTTTCATGTTAATTTCCTTTTTTTCCACGGTTTGTTTATTTGGTTATTATCATGTGTACCTTAATATAGTTAAAATTCTCAATGCAGCTATTGAGTGCACTTTTTTAAATTTAAATATTAAGAAACTCTATAAATAACTAACTACAATAACTAATAAGGAGCTATTTATTAGATAGTTATTACAGTTGTATTTATTAGTAATTAACCCGCGAGAACTCGCACGGTGTATGGCATGCCCAATCCATTTTCATTCAATATTTTTGTTACAGTCAAAAGTCGTTAATCCGGACTCATCGGGACTTCGGCAATTCTGGATTATAGATCATCAGTTTAAATCTGGTAAGATGGCATGCAGAAATTACAAAATTAAAAATATGAAACCGTAGTTTATGAAATAAAGAACAATTATGATCTAAAGGGTATCAAAATTTACAAAAAGAAAAAGCTTAATATTTATTTGTTTACTTTATTAAACATTTCTTTCACTGTAAGTTGTTTCGTTTCATGGGATAATACTTTCTCTTTAATTCTATTAAACAGACATAATTTCTTGTTTAGTTATAAAGTTCCGCTTTTCAAGTCCTATTATTGCTTTGTCGAGAATACTGACTAATTTGTCAATCAAAATTTTTTCGTTTTCAATAATCTCTGTTACTTTCTTCGACTATCGGAAGCGAATTATAATGACGAGGAACTTGTTTTAAATCATATCAAAGACGGAGTACATCGAGATGAAATACTACATTTAGTTAAGGCAATTATAAAGCCAAATAAAATAAAAACATCTGCCTTGAAGATAAGGATAGTGATGACAGATCAACTTCCAAATCATTGTGCGCCGAGGCATTCCCCCCGCCGAAGCTGCGTGAAATTGATAAACAGATTTCGGATTTCGAAACATACTTTCGCTTTAGATCCTTTACATATTAGCAAATATATATCAGAAATTCTATTTGATATAATCGAAAGTTCAAGCTTACTTTTATAAAATTACTCTTAACAGTCAGCAAAAAATAATAAGCCAGATCCAATTCGAAGATTAAGGAACAACGCAATCTGCAACATTAACTGAATTAGATAATTTTAGCTTAGCTTATACCGCCCATTATACATTAAACGTGCATGCGTAAACGTTTTATGCGCATGCGCACATGCATATTCGCAGCCGTAAAGGTCTTACGTGCACACGTAAACGCCTATGTGCGTGCGTCAACGTGACGCATGCGCAGAAAGTTTGTAGCTGAGGTCCGGATTATAGATCATTACGGATTATGGGTGTCCGAATTAATGACTTTTGACTGTATAGCTTTTAAATAGCTGTAGGTGGAATAACGGATAAATTAAATTTTAAAGATAAATGTCTTATATTTTGTTGAATGGCAACAAATTCTTGAAACAATTGAAAAGTGGAACAACACATTTACAGTGGACCATATTTAAAGTGAATGGGTGCAAATTCGTGTTAAGAATCAACACAAAATCATGTGTGTAATACCCCTTTTTGGCTGAAAATTGTTTCTTATAAATGTGAATACTCAGTTAAAAATCATCATAAAACATTCAACAATAGAATTAATGAATATGCAAATACATAGTAATATATAAGAAAAGAATTTAACTAATATGTATAAATTATAATTAAGTTTATTTTCAAAAAATGTAGTTGTTTGTCCACTGTTAAACACTTGTTTACACATAATGTAGGAATAATTCAAGTCTTATTCACAAAATTTTGCATTGTTCCTGTTATAAATTAGCACTAATCTCTTTTGTGCAATTTAAAAAATTTTCAAAATTAAAACCTTATTAGGTGAAATACATTTGAATTGTGTAAAAGAGCTTTTCCCATTGTTCCATTCCATTCTTTTTGTAACAGTTATCCCACAAGAGGGTGGTGCATTACCCCACAAGTAACTTTTTAAATGCTTAGAACTCCGTTAGACTGTGAGCAGAGTGGTACTCATTTTTGGCAGTGCACCATTTCCACTGTAAACCAGTCATTAGTACTTTTTTGTTATTAATTTTTATTGTTATAAATAAAATAATTTATCATAAATAGAAATGGATAGTTCAAGGTAAGGATAAGACAATAATATTTATGCTGATTTAATAACTGCACATAATAATTGTAATTAAATTGTAATGTGATATTTTGAATTAGACATATGCACATCTCTTGACACATGTGACAACTTTAGTCAGTTTTGTGTAGTGGGATTCATCATTCAATTTTTTTCACAGTTTTAAGAGATACTCCATTTTTTTTTATTGGATTTCATATAGCAAACCAAACTTCTGGTCCATAGAAGTTCATGATAGCAGGGTTTGATTGTACTTCCATTTATACATTACAAAGTGTAAAATACAGATGTCGAATAGCGAAATGATCCATTATCTGGACTTTCCATTTCCATATAACTTTTTTTTAATTTAATTTTTTTATTCATTATAGAAATGGAGACTGTGACACTGAAATAAGCATACTCAAAAGCAAGTGTGCAGAGAGTTAATTTTTGTCCCACTTAGCTAAGATTTGTTTTCTTTGATGAAAAGCATCGTTATTTGTGATAGTATTGAATGATTCTGCATGTTTCACCTGCTGGCTAATGAACCAGATTTCCTTTTTCAGTAAGTGGTTCTGTGTGAGAGCTGATTTAGCATTTTTCTGTCATATTAATCCTATACAAAGTAAGTGAAGCATAAAGACCCATGTTTGTTAGGAGTGAATTATTACGCATATTGACTTTCATTTGTTCGCAAAGCAGAGAAAGCAAGCAGAAAGAATTAGATATTGATTAATCAGCTAACACATTAAATTGCATTCTTTTTTAACTTTCTCAATTTATCCAGCTTATTTTGTTCAGTCTATTATTATTACTGTTATCTTAACAAAATTAAAGTTTTAAGAAAGCATAATGTCTGTTTTGCTCATTCAGTAAAAACTGTATATCTATCAATCAGCCAAAGAGTATTGGCAGAAAATATAATCATTTTGGTTCAAGTTGCATTTTAATTTCAATGTTATTCAAACAGTGTTGTTTGTGCAGCATAACTCTTAGAGTATCCTTTTGTTCTTCTCTTGGCAAATCCTCAAATTGTAAAAATCTGTTTTGATTTTAAAAAAATGGAAAATGAAACACATGGCTATGTCAAGAAAGAAGTCAAACCAAACTGGTGATGCTTGCTGCCGAAGAAATATTGAAAAAAAAAAAAAAAAAAAAAAAAAACCATCAAGCAGCTTTGACAGAGAACTGTGAAATTTTTCAACTAATGGAATAATGGAATGGAAAGAAATGCTAAATGAAGATGATATAGCTAAAGTCTATATTTTGATGGTCCCACCAGTAGTGGTTAAGACATCTAAATACTGGTTGTTCGATGTGCTGTGGGTTTGAACCCAGGCAAGAAATGGCTGCATGGTTAGTTTTCATGGTTTTCTTCATATGTATCATGAATGCAAGAAAATTTTCCTCAAAAATTCCATAATGGCATCCATCGTCTTAGGAACATACTCCTCATGTCTTTATTTAAATGACCTAACCTGACCTTTTGTTAGACACTGTCTTTATTACAATGAAAATGTCCCTATCAGCAATCAGTTAATGGATGGCGAAGTCTGTGATATAGTTTTAAATCTGTAAAATATTGTCACTGATTGTGAAAATAAGATAAAAAAAGATATACGTAGAAGATAATAATAAAGGGGTTTCAACAAAGAGGTTTAAAAAGATAATAAAGAGATTGTTGAAAATGTTAGTCAAAATTCTCTACAGGACCTAGAGGACAAGTCACTAACTTTGTACCTAAACAAGAAATTATGTATTTGTATAAAATTAAAGAGGATAATGGCACTTTCTGCTTAAACAAGAAAATATGTGTCTATAAAATTAAAGAGACAAAAATGATGAAATTGCTTAAACAGCTCAAATTAAAACAAAACTAAGTGTTAACACTGAACTTTGTTTTGTAAATTTTGGTTTCCTTAATATCATAAGTGCTTCATTATTTCATGAACAATAGTTTCCTATTTTTAATTTTGCAGTTTTCACATATTATCTTACTAGATTTATATACATGATCTAGAATCTGGATATTTCTGAAATCTGGAATCAATGAACTCCCAACGATTCTGGATCTTGGACTTTGTGCTGTATCAGTATAGGTTATCTATTTACTAGTTTCATTTTCTATTAAATTGTAATATCTCAAACATAAGAAAATTGAGCACAAAATTATTTTCACAATTCAAGATAATAAAATGGAAATGTTAACTATAATTTTATGTTTTTCAGGTTTAAAAATAGGCCTCATATAAATTTTGATGATGTTTCCCATGAAGCTGATGAAGAATTTGAGATGACACCTGATCATACTGGGACATTAGAATATCCTATAAAGTATGATTCAATGTTTATTTTCTTTATGTGTTGTCAGTTTAAACACCAATACTGGTTCATGTATTGGAACTATATGTGATTATCTTTGAAAATGAAACAAGATAAATTCCCTTGCAGTGCTGTTCCACTACAGGGAGCCTCATTTATAACACAGTTTTTCAATTTCTTAGGTACATCATGTTATTTTATATGACTTTAGTGAATAACCAAATGCATAAAAATGAGAGATAATGAACTTTATGGACATTTATTATTGAATCTTCTTTGTACCTTTAGTAATTTTTTTTTAGAATTCCTGAAAGTTTTAAATGAAAATTCACTAAAAATTTTCTGTCTAGGCTATTAGGATAGTGAAAAATACCTTTTCATTATTATTCTTATCTTCTTCCATACTGTTCTCAGTATTCTAAATACAGGCTATTTGAGGCAGGCATAACGCATAAATTTTGCAACCTACAGTAAGCATATCTTAAGAAGAAGATAATGTATTTCAGGGAGAGAGTCTGATCCATGACTTACATGTTAAATAATTTATCAAGTAAAATTATAAAGGTATGATGAAATTGAAAAGCAACAAAAAATAAATTTAATAATAGCATATAATATTGATTGCAGTGAACCCTTAATTCAGTTTTTCCTAAAACTTATATTCGCTTTTGGTAAATGTAACTTTTTGTGGTCCATCAGTTAATTTTTACACTTATCGGAAACCAATCTTTTGCTTTCTTGAAGATTGTTGTAGTGGGGTTTGATTATGTCAAAAAAAGAAAAAAAAATCAGTAACTATTGTTTCATTTATGAAAAGGTGCAAGGAAATATTTATTCAGCAATAACTATACAGTCAAAAGTCGTTAATCCAGACTCGTCGGGACTTCGGCGATTCCGGATTATCGATTTTTCCGGATTATAGATCATCAGTTTAAATCGCGTAAGATGGCATGCAGAAATTCTAAAATTAAAAATATGAAACCGTCATTTATGAAATAAAGAACAATTATGATCTAAAGGGTATCAAAATTTACAAAAAAAAAAAAAAAAGCTTAATATTTATTTGTTTACTTTATTAAACATTTCTTTCAATGTAAGTTGTTTAAGTTGCTTCGTTTTATGTGATAATACTTTCTCTTTAATTCTATAAACAGACATAATTTTTTGTTCAGTACAAAGTTCCGCTGTTCAAGTCCCGTTAATTGCTGTGCCGAGAATACCGACTAACTTGTCAATCGAAATTTTTTCGTTTTCACTAACCTCTGTGTCACATTCTTCATGTCTTTATCCATTTTTTGCAGCAATTTCACTTTTTGTTTGATGGACATTGAGACATACTTTTGTTTTGGGAGCTCCAGATTCGGAAATTCTATTTGACATAATCGAAAGTTCAAAGTTTACTTTTATAGTATTGCTCTTACAGTCTGCAAAAAATAATAAGCCGAATCCAATTCGAAAATTAAGGAACAACGCAATCATCAACATTAACTGAAATAGATAATTAGATAATTTTAGCTTATATCGTCCGTTATACATAAAACGCGCACGCGAAAACGTATTCTGCGCTTGTGCACACGCAAATGCGCAGTCGTAAGAGGGTCTTACGCGCACGTGTAAATGCCTATGCGCATGTGTCAACGCGGCGCATGCGCAGAAAGTTTTTAGCTTCGAGGTCCGGATTATAGATCATTCCGGATTATGGGTGTCCGAATTAACGACTTTTGACTGTATTTACAATCTACTTCTTGGCAATTTTCAGTGGAAGAATTTTTTAAGTATTTTAGTGTTATGGTTCAATCACCACAAATCAGATTTCTGATTTCTGTGTATATTTCCCAGATTTGAATTTTGTAGTTTTAATTTGTGGTACTTGACAGCACTTATGGTTTTTCCTTCTTTGAATCAGTATATTGAAAATACTTATTGATTGTGTATGTCGCACAAACTTGCCATTTCATAAATGCTTTGTTGAAATCATCTAGAGATTGCGATTTAACCTTTGTTACACTTCTTCAAGTCTGACAGAATTAAGTAATTCCCATCTAGGAATAAAACACTTCCTGTTACATATTTATTTTCCTATCGACTGTGAAAGTTGGCTACCTCTAAATTATGAAAGTTGGTGGAAATTGTGCCAGTCATTCCTATGGAATCTTACAATGAAACATTTGTCAATCTCTTTGCACAACCCGCTGTGTTTTTGCTTTTCGTGAAAAGTCTTTTGTCAGGTCCTCAGATTTTACTAGATGCTTTGTTTAGAACACTCTGATTACAAACTCCTTGTTGGTGATAGTTCTAATCTAGTACTGTGTTGTTCAGCTTTCTTTTCCATATTCAGATGTTTAGTCTTTCAACCATCTAAATGAATCAGAATTCCAATACAGCTCTACATCTCTGAACAATTTTTTTTTTTTAAACCTGATTTGTAATGTTCTTTTACCTTAATGATTTGAATTAGTGTTTCTTGAACCAGGATAACTTGAATTCTTGACAGTTATTATAATATTTAATATTTTGGGCACCCAATTGTTGCACACGAACAGTTTTTTTATTTAGAATGCAGTGTTTTTTCATGTTATTGAAAAATTATTCCTCAGCACTGAAGGTGGCAGGATAAACGTTCAGAATACTTGTGAATGCTTTTCACCTGTAAAGTGAGTTACTAAATTAGGATTAAACCATTTGAAGACTGCACAGGTAAGCGAATAAAATTATTTTTGTTGTTATTATGGCAGATGATATTGTTAAATTGAAAGCTACTAGAAAAACTATGAGACAAGATATTTTTAAAATAATAAATGTTGTAGCACCTGAAATTAGAAAAGACATTTGGGATTAGAATATGGTAGAAGAAAATGTGTTTTTCCTTACTTCTAAACAGTCTGCGTTGAAAGAAATTAATGAAAAAATATTGTGTTAAAGGGGATGAGTCTGAAATTGAGAAAGAATGTAATACTGTATTAGAGTATGATGAAAATATGAGTTTATGAATTTTTAGGGCTAAAAGGAAACTTAACGTGAACATTAAAAATGAATCGCCTGGTAACCATACTGCTGCCATAAAGGTCGAAAACAAAACTAACATTCGGTTACCTAAAATTTCAATTCCTAAATATTATATGGTGATCCTAGTTTACTTTTGGAATTTTATAATTCTTTTGAAAATGCTATTTGTAATAATAATGAGTTAACAAAGGTCAAGAAGTTTACCTATCTTAAATCCTTACTCGCAGGACCTGCTTTAAGTGCAATATCTGGGTTTGCACTATCCTAATGAGAATTATGACACTTCTATAAGTTTAATTCAAAGAAAGATTTGGACAACCAGATTTGGTAATATCTTTGCACATGAAATAAACTCTTGAATCTTGAAACCTGTTAGAAGTTCGTCGAATGTGAAAGCACTAAAGAACACTTTACGGTTCCTGTGAAATCAATATAAGAAGTTTAAATTCTTTGGGTATTGTGTTCGGAAGCTTATGGGGACCCTTTTAGGACCAGTTTTTTTTTTAGCTTTTACCAGAATGATATGAATCTGGAGTTTAATAGAAAAAAAAAAACTCTAAACAGCAATATAGCGTTACAGAACTTCTCTAATTCATTAGATTGGAAGTTGAGAGTTGGGAAGCTTCTAATTTAAAAATAAACTCAAAGAAAGAGACACAAATTATGGTGCTAAGCAGAATAAAAATAATTACTTAAAAGGGGCAAGCATTCCTACTGTTTCGGCGTTAGCCACAGTGACAAGCCATATTGTTTCTATTGTAATCAAAATACGCATGATGTAGGAAAATGTGAGAAAACAAATGAGTAAAAAGAGCGATATTAAGAAACCATGCATGTTGTTACAGATATTTTAAGAAAGGTAATATATTCTCCATATGTAAAATGAAACTTCAGCCTTGTGAGTTGTGTAATGGTTTAAATCATAATAAGCTATTTTGTAAAAATATTGTTCCTGAAGTGGAAGCAGTTTCAGATGTTAAACAGAAACTAGTAACAGTATCAGATTCTAAGCAGAATTTAGTTGCATCCCTGTCATTTAACTCTTAAGACTGTTTCTGAAACTGCTGATAAAGGTGTATGCTTACAAACTTGCACTGTTTATACTTCAGATACAGATAATACAGTCAAAAGTCGTTAATTCGGACACCCATAATTCGGAATGATCTATAATCCGGACCTCAAAACTAAAAACTTTCTGCGCATGCGCCGCGTTGACACATGCACATAGGCGTTTACGCGTGCGCGTAAGACCTTTTACGACTGCGCATATGAGTGTGCGCAAGTGCAGAATACGTTTTCGCGTGCGCGTTTTATGTATAATGGACGTATAAGCTAAAATTATCTAATTATCTATTTCAGTTAATGTTGATGATTGCGTTGTTCCTTAATTTTCGAATTGGATCCGGCTTATTATTTTTTGCAGACTGTAAGCAATTTTATAAAAGTAAGCTTAAACTTTTGATTATATCAAATAGAATTTCCGATATATATTTGTTAATATGTAAAGGATCTAAAGCGAAAGTATGTTTTGAAATCCGAAAATTGTTTATCAATTTCACGCTGCTCGGCGGGGGGAACGCCATGGCGGGCGCGTAATAAATTGGAAGTTGATCTGTCAGCATTATCCTTATCTTCAGCGCAGTGTTTTTATTTATTTGGCTTATAAGTCCTTACCAAATGTATATTTCATCTCAAATGCTCCGTCTTGATATGATTAAACAAGTTCCTCGTCATTGTAATTCGCTTCCGATAGTGAAGAAAGTAACAGAGGTTATTGAAAACGAAAAATTTCGATTGACAATTAGTCGGTGTTCTCGACACAGCAATTATAGGACTTGAACACGGAACTTTGTAACTGAACAAGAATTATGTCTGTTTAATAGAATTAAAGAGAAAGTATTATCACATGAAACGAAGCAACTTAACACTTACATTGAAAGAAATGTTTGAATAAGTAAACAAATAAATATCACTTTTTCTTTTTGCAAATTTTGATACCCTTTAGATCATAATTTTCTTTATTTCATAATGACGGTTTCATTTTTAATTTTAGAATTTCTGCATGCCATCTTACGAGATTTAAACTCATGATCCATAATCCGGAAAAATCGATAATCCGGAATCGCCGAAGTCCCGACGAGTCCGGATTAACGACTTTTGACTGTACTAGAAGCCAAATAGTAAAAATCTTAATTGATGGTGGATCACAGAGGTCATTTATTAGATCTGATTTGGCTAAAGAATTAAAATTAAGGACTTTAAGGAAAGAAAGGTTATATATTTATTCATTTGGGTATATCCAGGGTAGACTAATGGAATATAATGTTGTTCAAGTTACCCTGAAAAGTATACAATGCCCTAATGATTCAATCACTGTTGAAGCTCTTGTTACAGATACAATTTCTGGAGCGATCATAAAAATTCCTTCCAAAAACATTTTAGAAATATTAAAATCAGAAAATCTAAAATTAGCCCATAATGGTGAAGCATCTGAAATAAAAATATTGTTAGGATCTGATTTATGTTGGGAAGTGCAAACAGGAGAAAAGAAAAGAGTAAGTAATAAATTATTTGTGGTGTCTTCTATATTTGGTTGGATCTTTGGAAAATGATCAGTGTAGTACCTGTATTTTTATAACTGGTGCTTCTCACTGCTTGAAGGAAGATAATAGTTCAGTTAATGACTGTTTGCGAAGGTTTTGGACTTTGGACCACTTGGGTTTAGAGGAGAAGGAGAATCCTGATGATAGATCAGTCACTGAGAAATTTGAA